ATCCTGAGGTAATTCAGTGAACACATGACCAGTGTGCATTCCCTCACCTTCTCCTATCCTGAAGTAATTCAGTGAACACGTACATATTCATGAAAAATAGTAAGTGCACTTACTGAGCATTTGCCAATTCGAGTATATTTCCTCCCATTGTCGCTGACTCCGTATATATAGATACAGTTGTCATGAGAGCCTATTGCTAGGAAAGTCCCATCTACAAAAACAGGACAAATGACAACTGTTAAAAATAATGATGAAAAGGGGCATTTTATCAATCACAAGGATTAAGGCTGGTTAGCATCACAGTTAGAGGAAATGGCCACATAGATCCATTAGAGGATTATTGCAAAGGGAAAGTGTTGCTTTCGTGTGAATCCCACACATGCTATACCTGCCCTGTGAAGAGACTCATCTGACGTTAACCTCTTATAAAGTCCTTCCCTGCAGGCCCCACCATCAGAGGGTCAAGACTCAACTCTGCAGTATAGCCCCATGGCTTCTGCAGCCTCATAACTGGCCCTGACCCCTCAGGGCCTCTCCTGCCCTCCTTAAATGGCTCTCCTCAAGGCCCTCCTTCAATGGCCATCAGTGCTGTCTCCATTCCCAAGCTCCAGTCTCGGGTAACCCTTGGAGCCTGTCTTCCAGGGTCTGTCGCTATTGTCCCCTCCCCTGGGTTCTGGCCTTTCATAAGCGTCAGGGCCCAGGCCTGGATGCATGTGCAGAGACATAGGGAGCTCAGTGCAATGTGGAAGCAGGGCCAATCCCTAAAGCTGGCTCATCAATATGCCAGGTAAGAGGCCAAGGGGCAACTCTGGAAGATACTGTGGAGAGGATGGGGTGGGCTTCCCCGAGGCCAGAACAGAATGGAGGAGATGGGACTAACGTACGGGGTGGGCCACTTGAAGCCAGGGGAGGCCCAGAATCAAAGGCAGAGCAGTGGGGGTGTCTCTGCACTGGCTCGGGGGCTGCAGGAGAACTTCTTGTGCCTCTAGCCACAAGATGGGGTGCCTGATACCGCCTCATGGTAACTGAGAAGATTCACTGGGACAATATGCGTAAAGCACCTCAACTCAGGAGCACCAAGGACTGATTCTTTCCCCACCCCTCCTCTGCTTCCCCTCCTCCCAGGCAGGGAATCCCATAGGAGACTGCTGCCAGGCAATCACAAAGTCTTGCCCCAGGCTAGTCAAAATGGGGGTGTTGGCAGGATGAGGTCAGCCTGTCCAAAGTGGGGCCAGGGACACTGAAGTCTGCCGACAGGCCACCATCTGCTGCAGATGGTTCTAGAAAATGCCAGGGAATGCATGATAAATTACCCATCCTGCACTGAATGCCTCTAATGATCCAAGACCTGACAATGATGATAATGATAAATCCTAGATACTGACAATAATCACTATTAAATAGTAACAATTACTGCTCGTATAAGCCAACATGTATTGAGTTCCTACTGCATACCAGGTACTGTTCTAAGCTCATTTCCTGTATTAACGTATTCGATCCTCATTACAACCCTATGAGGCAGACATCATTATCCCCATGTCCCAGGAGTAGGAACTGAGGCACGAGATGGTAAAGGAAGTTGGCCAATGTCACAGGCCTTTAGAGAAGCTGGGATTCAAACCCAGCCTGCCTGACTCGAACCTGAGAGCTTCATTGCTGAATTGCACAGCTCCTCTGACCCAGCCTAAGGGTGAAAAATAGCTGAAAACCTACAACCAAAGTGCAGCACGGAGGTTGTACAGCTTAAGCAAAATCCCTAGCTTATTGCTAGTTTGGGTAAGATGGCAAATTAGGCAGTCAAACTACACAGAAATTCACAAAAAAAAAAAAAAAAAAAAAAGGGAGAACTAATTAACACAGATACAGAAGATAATCCTGGAGCCCTCGGCTTTGAAAGGAAGGATACAGAAGTAGACCAAGCTCCAACTAGTAGAAGAAACTGCATGAAAACTTCGAGAAAGGAGACATACTGAGCTGAGGTTTGTCAGTGATCCTGATGGCACAGACAGCTTGCATATTGCCAAGTGTTAGGACCTAAGAATTAACCTAAAAATTGGCCTTGCTAGTCAGATGCTGCATGGAGGACTGCACTGGGGGCTGGTGAGTAAAAGGGGAAGCAGTGAAGAGGGAGAGGGGCTGAACTGTGGATGTTTGGCTGTCCTGAGGGTGCAGCCATTTTGAATGTTTACAAGCGATTCAACCATTTTGGATATGTAAAGCAACAGCATTCCCTCAGATTCTGGGGACCTAAGAACAGGCTCTACATGCCAGGGACCGCAAGGACATTCTGGACACGAATGACTGAAAAGTGAACAGAGATCTAAATACAACAACATCACAATTTCCCAGAGACAACAGACCATCACAGTCCACACAAAGAAGCAAGAGAAAGTGTTAGAAACAAGGGACCAGGATACAGACCCAGAACACATTCTTGAAGAAGAAATAGCATTGGAACTCCCTGATAAGGAATTCAAAAGAATTTTATTTAGGTATCTTCAGAAAATTGAGAGACAGATCAAGGAAAACACTGACAAAATTAAGGAAAACACAGAAAAAATGCTGTTTTGGAAGAAAAGATAAGAACAAAATGACAAAATAAATGTATAATTAGAAATGATTCAAAATCTACAGATAGAAATCTAGAAGATTAATACTAAATTGTCAGAAATAGATAACACATTGAAAGGGCAAAGGAGGAGAATTGATGCAATGGAAGACAGAATTAATGAGATTGAAGACAAATACAAGAATACTTCTTTGGAAAGGGATCAATCAGAAAAAAACATCAAAATGAAGAAAGCCTAAGGTTCATGTGGGATATCATCAAGAGGAATAACCTACATGTAATTGGAATTCCAGAACAGGAAGAGACAAAGAAAACCACTGAGAAAACTGTCCAAGAGTTGTTGGAAGAGAACTTCCCTGATATGATGA